TAAAGGATGAAGAATGTCTCCTGACAGCAAGAACCAGATTTTACTTCACAGAGCCCAGGACTGGAGGAGGTCACATATATGCTTGGCTGGGAACAGGAAATTGTAACAGGGGGCCAACACCAGTGTGTGCCCACCACCACCACCCCATACACATTTACACTGGACTAAAGAGAAAAGGTCTGGCTTAATCAGCCAGTCTGAGAAGGAAGGGGCAGGCATTTGGATATTTTGCACAGAATCAGCAAAGGTGGAATGCTTAAGTGTTTGGTTTTGGCTAAGTTAAGCAGGGTGTTTGCCCTGAGGACAAGGCTGAAAGCAGTGCCCTCTTAAATGTCCAGGAAAGTCTTTGCTGAAGGAAGAGGAAAGAGTTGGGAGGGTGCTATGACAGAGGGTTGGTTGAAGGTGCTGGGAAGGAGGTGTCTGTGTGCTGAGAGGTGAAATCCCACAGGGTGAAAGTGATAAAGGGGAGGGTTAAGCACTGAGTCAGCACTTAAAATTCCCCATGGCAGCTTAGGACAGTCCCTGAGGCCAGAGACCATCTCTGCAGAGCTGTCTCCACGCAGCTCCTCAGTCCAAAGAACAGAGCTGACCGTGGCTAGTGCACACAGGCAGAGACTCTGCCCTGCTCAGGTGGGTGAGGCTGTGACCCCACCAGGCTCTCCTTGTATGTAATCTAAAACACAAACCCTGCTGCAGGGCCAGACTCCCAAACAGAGGCATCCTGCCTGATTCCCACTCCTCCTTCCCCCAGTAACACACGGGAGAAGCCCTGTGGGAATACCCTTACACATGCCCTCAGATGGAGCAATACTTCTGAGAAAGGAGCTGCCAGTTTCAGGGAGGGGCGGCAAGAACACAAACCCTGGGACCAGGAGAATCTCTTCAGAAAGCCTGTCTTGGGAGGGTAAACATGTCCCAATAGCACAGAGGCCTTATGAAATGTGGGATGGGCAGCTGCAGCAGCTGCAGACACACACAGCACCCCCTTGGGCCAACAGGAGGGTTCAGGCTGTGCCTTGCTGTCACTGCAGCAGCAAGCCTTGGGGGAAGAGCTGTGGGCAAAAAAAGCCTAAGAAAAAACAGCACAGAGGGAGATGGAATTGTTTTGTACCACAGATGAGCAGCTTGACCTCCTGTCACTGCAAGCCAGCTCTTCTGCAGCTCCTGCGTTCTTTTCCATCTCTTCCAGCCAGGAATCCTTAGGCAATTGGTAGACCTCCAGCCAAGCTTTTGAGCTGTCTGCATTGGGAAACCATGTTAAGCAATTGGAAATGAAGAGGAAAGGTCTTTCAGGCAAGCAGCTTCTGTTATCTTTTATCCTTTATAAAAAGATTTGTGTATTTTTTGAAATATAAAATCTCTGTGAACTCCATGCAGCCGACCTCTCCTCCCACTTAAGGCTTGACATGCTTGATTGAGACTGACACCCCAGCCTCCAGCTCAGTCCTCAAGGTCCCACATCCATCAAAGAAATTCCATGAAGCTACTCAGTCAATAACCTGACGTGGAGCCTCTGAGTAGCAGAGGAGAAAGTAGAAAATGAGGCATGGTCTCACATTAGTTCTCTGCTACATGACTCATTCTCAGCATGTGTCCAGGCAGATCCCACCAAACACAGGTCCAGAAAACCTGCCTGCCATGGATTCAGCTGCCATGAAACAGAAGAACCTTGTAACAAGGAGTTTCTTGCAGTGTTTTCAGAGGCTCTCTATGCTCTCCAGGCTATACCTGCAGAGAAAATTCTTCAGGTCTACATCTTTTCAGTGTAAAAGTGAGCCATAGCAAACCAGAGGAAGAACTGAGTTTGGTACTTCTGGAGAGAGGGAAACCTGCTTCCACTGAGCCTCCTGGGAGCTGGGGACTGCACTGACAGCTCCAGACAGCTCGCTTTTGGGATCAGCCCCAGTGTTTTGGAAGGGACAGGGAGTGGCAGGGGCTGATCTTCAAGCTGGAGGAGAACTGGGAGGATTAAAACAGGATCCTGGGTACCCAGACCACTTGCAGCATTCTCAAAACACTGCTGCTGCCTCTCTGTTAGGACACAAGAGTCTCCAAACACAGCGTGTTCCTGCACTTGCCTTGCAGCAGGATTCCTGCATAATCACCTCCTCGGGACAGCACCACCTCCACACAAGGGCTTCGCTGGCTGATGTCCTCCTGCCAAGGAAAAACAGGCTGATCAAAGCTAGATCACTGATTCAGAGAGCTCCATGCCCTCACACAGCTCTCACACAGCTCTCAAAAGGCTGAAGACTGTTGGGAGAACAAAAGTAAATACTGGGCAGCAGTCTTGGAGAGCTACTGCCTATGAATAAATTTCTGAGGGCAACTGGTACTTCTCATGATTGATTACTTCCCAATTAGCTCAGCACTTACCACTTCATTCAGGATTTTAATGAGCAGGAAGCTTTCCTTGTGAAAGCAGAAGAGCCAGGCAAGCCCTGAAATAGAAATACAGAAGCAGCAGAAGGAGGGAGAGAAAAGTGAATGAATGTTAGCCATGCTCCTGGGGATGGCTGTTACAACATGTGCAGGAGAGTGAGCAGGATTACATTACCTCCTGGGCCCAAGGAACAGTATGCCACTGTTTCCAGCACTAAACTTTTGCTGGCTTCCTTATGTGAGCACCAGTAAACCTTTGGTTGTGCACAGAGATGGATAAGCCAGTCTGAAAAGTGACAACTCTCAGATGCACCAACAAACTAGTACAGGTGCAGGAGCAGCTCACAGGCAGGAGGCCATTCCGAGCAAGAGCTCTTTCTGCCCAGCCCAAGATGCTCCTAAACTTCACTGTGCTTCACCCTCAGCTCTGCACCTGCCTCTGCTGTGCCAGAAAAGCCACCAAAGCCACAGCCCCTGCCAATCACAAGGCCCTAAGGCCACTCTGCCACCCTGCAATCTGCTAGCCGTCCAACGCCCTCTCTGCAGGGCTTTCTAGGAAACTTCTCAGCCACCCTAACGCTGCCCCGACCCAGCAGTGCTCTGTAGCACCGCCAGCTCAGCTCCAGAGCACAGCTAATCCCCAGCTAGGGCAAGGAAATCCACGGCACACTGACCCATTTCATCCACAGCAAGCAGGACGTGGCACTCGCTGCCCAGATCCGAGGCATGGATGGCACAGATCTCTGTCTTGGCTGCATCCCAAGCACTGACATCCTTGAAGTCACACCTGTTGAAGGCAGCCAGACCCACAGACAGACCCACAAAGACGTATTCTCCAGACACTGCAAGGCAATTGGCTCTTTCAGTTACCTACCAAGAAAGGGAAAAGATGAGTGTACCCAACTGCATTCTCATCAGCCATACTACTGATATATTCCTGGCCTTTTCACCAAAAAATGCTGATTTATTCTACAAGGGAAACCTTTTGACTCATTCTTTCCCCACAAGAGCAGGGCAGGGTCTCTCATCTCTGTCACAGAGATTGGTCTGTGTTAGGAATGAGAAAGTTTTCTCCCATCTTTCCCCTTCCCACAAACAGAAGGGGCTTTAAAGGCCAAGAGCTCAGGAGCATCCCGCCCTTCCCTTCCAGTGCAGAGCTGTGACGGGATGCTGAACTCCTCCAGGCAGTCACAGAACACCAGCAGACACCAGAGTATCCTCCTGGACACCCCCACATAAGCACGGGGAAGGCAGCACTGTCATCCTGCTCCCACTGGAGGATTCAGCAGAGCACAGAGCTGGGCTTGCCCACTCGTGTGCCACTGACTAATCACCTTCTCCTCAGCAAACAAGGGTGGAGCCAGCCTGGGAAGGTGAATTTAGTGTTTAATACCTAGAGAGGTGTGATAACTGGGTGGGAAGCAGAACCTGTCAGACAAGCTGAGAAGCTGCAGGCTTTAAAACTGAACCAGTGAGATGGTGGTGGCATTCTGAGGAAGGTCACGAACAGGAGAATGACAAGATCTGCTCTGGTGGTTAATGCTGTCTCTGCTGGGAGAGGTTCTGTACCTGGAATTCAGCTGTAGGAAAGCATTTTATGGGCTGGACCTTTCGTTTTTGTGCTTCTCGGAGCATCTCCCGTTTTTCAATGATTTCCACAGCACTCTCAAAAACCTGCATCACCAGTTTGTTGATCATCCTGAGGGGCTGCGGCAGCACATCACGCTTTCGATCGGGATCCAGCAGGAAGAAATCTTCCTCCTCTTCCTTTGGCCATTCCTTTCCAGATGGTGGGGGAATCTCCAGGAGATGCTTCTGGGTATTCACTGCCATGGTTCTCCCTCTGCAGATGCAAAACGAACCACGGATGCAGGAATCACCCTGGATGCAGAAGAATAAAGAGTCCTTCAATACTTTCTCTCATGAGGTAATGGGGGAAAACTTGATTAATGATGTCTAAGGGGGTTTCTTTTCAGTTTTGATAGCCAGAGCAACCCTGCTCTGCACAGCTCAATTCTCCTTGTATCGCCTGTGTCTCCCGGGGGTTTTGTCCTGCTCTGGGGATCTCAGCCACATAGGGATTTGCAGGCTGCCCACAGGCAAAGAGAGCCCAAAAACTTTGTCACAAGCGTGTATAAGAATTATGGCAAAGCATTCAAAAGTATTCAAAAATATTATCTTGTTCTTCGTTAATTACCCAGGACTTATTCTTCCTGAGTAAAATCCCAACGATTAACTTTGAGAGCAGGTGCTCTCACTGGAAGTTTTGTACTCCATTTCCAAGACACCGGGTGGTTTCGAGCTTCCCCTGCGCGGGGGGGCCGGGCGCACCCCACCGCCGCCAGCCCTCACAGCGCCTGACCTCGGAGCGGGGCCGGGGGCCGAGGGGCCGTGCCGGGGGCCGAGGGGCCGTGCCGGGGCCGAGGGGCCGTGCCGGGCTCCTCTGGCTTTCCCGGGAGGATCCGCCGCAGCTCAGCCGGCGGCTCCGAGCGGGGGAAGCCTTTAGGGGTGACACCGCCGCTGCTCCGTTGTTGACGGTTGCCGTGGTAACGACCCCTCCGTGCCGCAGCCCGGCCGGGAACGCGGCGCGCAGCGGAGCGTTCCGCGGCGGGGCGGGGCCCGGGCGCGGCGGGGCGGAGCGGCCGCGGCCCCCGCGCTGCTCCCGCCGTGCCGCCGAGCCATGGAGGGCTTCGTGGGCTTCACCAACCGCTGCCAGGGCCGCGACCAGCTCTTCCGGTGAGTGTGGGGGCAGGCGTCCTCCCCGCGACCCCCGGCACCCACCCAGGGCCCGTCAGCGGCGCCGCTCCCGCCGGGCCGCGGCCCCTCAGCCCGCCGGGCCGGGGACACCGCCCGCTCTGCCGGAGGGTGCTGCCGGTCTCCTCCGGTGCCAGCGACAGGACGAGGAGCAGTGGCCGTAAACTAAAACATAAGTTTCACCTCAGCTGAGGAGGAACTTGTGCGCATTTTGGGTGGCGGAGCGCTGGAGCAGCTGCCCAGGGAGTGTCCCTGAGGGCCTGGAGTCTCCCTCTCTGGGACACTCCGAACCCGCCCGGACGCGTTCCCCTGTCACCCGCTCCAGGTGATCCCGCCTGGGCAGTGGGGTTGTACTGCATGGTCTCCTTCCAGCCCTGGCAGTTCTGAGTCTGTGGAATGAACCTGTCCTGCTGCTGCCATCCTGTGATTGTCTGTGTCTCACCTGTGTCCCCCTCTCCTCGTTTTTTCCCTTCCAGAGCCACTCAGTACACATGCATGTTGCTTAGCTATTTAATAGAGAATAAAGCCGATAAAAAGAAGCTGGTAATGAAACTCAAGCAGTTGGAATCTAGCATGAGCTCTGGCCGGAAAAGTAAGTACCCAGTATCTAGAGGGATAAGACCTTCACTTGCTCCTTGCACTCCCAGCTCCTGCCCTTGTGTTTCCTCTAGTTAACCTACCCTGAGCCACAAAACCTCTTTTAATACATTTACAAAACTGTCAATAGACTTATCCCTGCCATGGCTTGCCAGGCTAGGTAGGGCTAAATAGATTTTTTTTTTATTTTACTTCTTCAGCCTCCTCTTCAGTTAGACAATCAGAATTACTGCTGGAAGGATGAGAGGAATAAGTTCACAGTCAGCTGTTGCTGTAGAGGCCAACCTGACACTTCTGTTCAAGGACAGACCAGGGTTATGAGGCAGGGCTGACTCACTGTGTGCTCATTAGTCCTTCCAGCTGATGGGTTGAGACAGCCCAGTGCTGAAAGATCATCATCCCACAAAATCACCGCTGAAAGATCATCATCCCACAAAATCACCGCTGAAAGATCATCATCCCACAAAATCACCTCTGAAAGACCATCCTTCAATATGGTTTTTATATCCTACTTAACATATTAATCTCTTCAGCGTTTATACCCTACTAAATCACATACCCTTCCATGCTTATAGCCTGACCATTTGCATCACTCTGGTCTGTGTCACGGTTGCATCCACGATGATTACACTGTTACTATGTGTGTATCACTGGTTTGCAGCTTGGTCTTCCACCCACTTGTCAATTGCTCAATCCTGGAACAACTGCAACCCATGAGACAAATATTCTAGTCTATCGGATTGCCATGGATTTGTTTATTATTCCATTAGCTGTAGAGTTATGGTATTTTCTAGTGGAGAGGCCAACTGGTTTATCAGCATGGGCATAATTCTTGTGCTTCTGCTAAATGAATCACTAATAGACACCAGGCCTAAATTCAGGGCTCTTGTAGTTCCACCAGGCTTGGGTGCTGTCAACATCTGTCACTGTGACAAGGCAGCAGGGTGTAAAAAGTGTTTTCAATAATATTGTATTAACATTCAGGGGGCAAAACCCAAACGGTGCAGCGGGTGAAATCAGGTTTGCCGTATGTTGCAGCTTGAAATGGAATACAGTGTTCCACATGGTTTGCAGGGAGCTGCTACATGTGCCTCTGGCAGATTCCTGGCTGAGGAGGGACTTTGGTCTCTGTGCTCAGCACGTGAATCAGCGGCTTTCACAGGCACAGAGGCAACCTGTGTCTCATGGCTGCAGTAGGATTAATGCAGAAACATCTTCTGTCCACAAAGTGAGGTAAAATGTACAGCTGAAATTAGAGGCTGTTTGTGTTCTTTGTTTGCTGGCACTGACTCCTGCAGAGCCGAGGGTGATATTGGTCCAGAGGGCCCCCAGGTGCAAGAACGGAGTGGCAGGAGAGGCTGCAAGTCCTGGCTATTGACCAAACCTGTGTGCATGTCCTGGGCTGGTGATGTTTACACAGAACTGAGACGTTTACACCCCTTTCCTCACTAATCCTGGGAAGTGCTCAAGCATACAAATGCGCGGAGCCCTCCAGGCCTTGTGAAAGTACACGCGCACTGCGGCAGGCCGAGCTCTGCGTGAGGCCGGGCCGTGCTAACCTGTCTGGGGTTTCTTGCAGTGTTCAGACTGGGCAATATGGTGCACGCCTTGGTGGCAGCCAGGAGAGCTGCAGAGCTGCCAGAGGTGGTTCCTCGCCTGTGCCTCACAGCCTCCCACCTGAGCCGGGCCCTGTACTTCGTGTGCGACGCCGTGCTCTGGCTCAGGAGCGTCGGGCTCCAGCCGCACGTCGACAAGCCCAAGTGGCACACCTGGGCTACCAAGTGCTACTACTGCTCCCTCCTGATGAATCTGGCCAGGGACTGCTATGAGATCTCCTGGAGGCTGGAACAAGCTGCACTGGAAGAAAAGACAAAGGAGAATTCCGTCTGGCAGAAGCACAGCGAGGAACTAAACGGTGTGAAAAGCGATGGTTTGCACAATTTTCTCTGCCTGCTCTTTCAGATACTGAAAAGGAATCCTCCTTTGCTGCTGGACTTGGTGAAGAACCTCTGTGATCTCTCAGGCCCTTTGGATACGCTGGGAATCTACAAGACCAACCCAGGAGTGATTGGTTTCTGCGGCGTCCTGTCCTCCCTGGTGGGGATCCTCACATTAGCAAGCCCACACCTGAAGCTGAAACAGTGACATGAAAGGAGCTGCATAGTATAAGGCTGCAGCTTTGATCCTCTGACAAATTTTTATCTTCATATAGCACTTTCGAATGAACATGTCTTAAAATAATCTCAAGATTAATTTTGTCCTCTGAAGAAGTGAATTCTGCCACTTTTCCTTCCCTGTGCCTTTGCAGATGAGTTTGGTGCCATGACACACTCACTGATGGGGTGGAGAGAGGAAAAGGCTGAGTAATATTTCACAAACAAAAAGAGGACTTGGAACTTGGCTGCTAGATAAGAAAATATTCCTTTATTTTAATACAGGGTTGTGAAATAACTGCATAAGCAACTGTAATAGGTATTATGATTCATGACTGCACTAATCATGTTTACACTGGAACGTTTCAATTCACTAATCCAAGGTCCCTGCAGTCAGATTGCCTCAAGTGGGCTAAGGTGGGTTAGGAGCTGCATTAGAGCAGCCTGAAGTCAGGAGTGAGTGTTCTGATGAGTTTGGGTTGCTGGATCCTGTGCCCTGCAGGCACTGAGCACACTGTGGTGGTACCTGGAAAGGGTCTCTGTGGTGTGTGCACCGGTGGTGCTGGAGCTGCAGTCTAGTGAGTGCCAACTCCTGTCCCAAAAAATCTGCACTTTCTTTGTTTCCTTTGATACTGTGAGCCAGGGACTGTTGGCCAGTGACTCTGACTGCTCCAGCAGGCCACAGCTGAGGGCTTTGGTGCAGGACAGTGTATTAACTCCCAAACCCCTGTAATTGCAAGCACAACTATTTTCCATTAATGATATCGTGATAAGGAGCTTGTTTTTCTCTTTTAATTTTACATGAAAAATTCCAGTCTAATAAGGAGTTTGGAACATGCAGTTAAGGAGAGAAGCCTGGCTCAGAGCTTGTTGAGTCACAAAAACTGCAAGGACATGTTTGTAGTTGTGTAAGCTCCAGGAGGAAAGAGAGTGGATTTTGTCGTGATAACATCAGAATCCCGTGTGGAAGAAAGCTTTTTACTGGATTTGGGCATTCATGGTTTAGACTTTCTTATCTGGTGCTCCCTGTCCTCCCTGCTCATGAGCACATGATTGCTTGTGTGTTCCCTCCCTGGCTGAATGGGTTCAACCATTTGAAAATGCCTCATTTTGTTGCCCTGCAACTGTGTTATTGTTCATCACTGACCTCACTGGCAGTGATGGCTGGCAGTGTAACTGGGTTAAAAGAGAATTGCTGTGTCCAGCTCTCTAGCATGGCATGCAGTTTTTGCTGCTCCTGACTTTGCAGAGTACCAGTTTGACACCATCTGAGACAAAATTGCACATTATACAGGAGATAAATTTAACGTTTTTCTTCATCAGAGTTAGGCCTGTGTGTTCTGCTGCTTCATGGTGTAAGAAGTCCTTGTTTAATCTGTCAAGGAGATGTGAACAGACTAACCTGGACCAAAGTTCTCATTTATTATTTCTGATGCTATCTAAAACCAGAAAATTAAAAGGTGTGGGTCTCCTTTATTAAAAGGCAAAGGATGTGGAATTAAGTAAGCAGGTAAGGCAGTGCTCCAGTTTACCTGAAGTTGTGCTTGGGCTTGGAATTACTTCCAGTTTGAATATGAAGTGATAGCCTGCCAATGAAGTGTTTGAAAAGAAAGAGGTTGCTGGGCAGGATAATTAAGTGTGTTTGAAGATCAGATGTGGCCTTCAGCAGCTCTTCTTTTCAATATGGAAATGAGTAGCACTAAAAGTAGGAGCATACTGGCAGCTCAGGCCAAAATGGAGCATTGTGTGTGGGATACATATTGTAGGCTATATTCTAGGCTTCCTCTCCTTTATAACAATGGATTTGTTTGTTTGTTTGTTTCTCCATTTGTTTCATCTCCTGGCAATGTGGAAGCCATCCCTACCTTAGTCAGAGTTGATCATTATCCCAGTGTGTGGCAACCCCTAGAATAAAGTAAGAGGAGTCTCTATCATCTGACAGTGGAGGTTTGATCAGCTTTTGCCTACAGAATTCCATCTTATTGCTGAAAATGTGTTTTCGGTCCCACTCAGGGGAGCTCTCAGATGCAAAATACTTCACAAAACACTTTCACTGGTTTGCCAGCTGCTTTCACTCTTATGCTTTTCAGGGAAAGCCATTGATACAGCCCAATCTCCACCTCCCTGTGCCCTGCAGGCAAACACTGTGCAAAGCCCTGAGCCAGGCTTTGATGTTTCTGGTAGGGCCTGATGTGGATTAGCTTGTACAATTTTATTGAGGGAAATGGGAGTGAGTTTTCAGCCTTCCTCAGCCCGGCCTGTCCCATTCTCCATTGCACAGGCTGGAACACACAGGAGTACCTCTGTTTACTGGATGTTAAGCACTAATATTTGCCTTCTGCTCCCCAGCTGGAGGCTGGTGATTTAAGGTACCTTAACAAAATGTGACTGAAGCCATAGGATTGTGATCATGTGGAGAAAATCCGTTTAGTGCCTTTTTTTGTGTCTGTTTCTAGTACAGCACTTGGAGTAAGAACAAGTTGTTTGAACATAAGCAATAAACTGTGATGAGTGTGACGCTGTGTCTGTGTATAACTTGGAAGGTGGTGTAAAGAGATGCTGAAGGAGGGAGAATTCCTCCCATCTCTGAATTTCATGACGGGTGACACTCTTAAAGAGACATTGCCTGTGAGCGGGTTCTAGAGCTTTTGTTTTGCAGTACCCACTTGGCAGCCAGATTCATCCAGCTAATTTAGAGTCACAATTTCAGCTGCAAAACCATTAAGAAATACCTGAGTATCAGATGAAACTGCATCCTTAGAATGCCCTGAAACAAGGAGGTGTTTTGGGAATTGCCATCAGCTGCCTTTGAGTACCAGCAGTGAGGGCTGGAGCCTTATGGCCGGTGTGAAAGGGACAGGGGCACCTGCATTTCAGTATCTTATAAACAGCTTTTCATTTGGATGGTCGTGGCTTAATGACAAATGCCACAGGGAACAAAGGGTGACATCTTGGGCAGAGGTGGCAAGAGATGGAGCCAGGATAACCATTAAACTGAGCTTACTGTTAGCTCCTACCCCCTGCAGTGAGAGTTTTGCAAACTTGGAAGCTCCAAAATGTCAGCTCCTGAACAATGTATAAAGTGTGGCATTCAGGAGTGCTTTAGCAAGAGTTTCCTTCTGGATTAGTGGCCTCATACCCATTTTGTAATGGAAACAGTAGGAGAGTGGTCATCTTCTCTTTTGCTTACAGACAGGGCCTTCCTAACATTAGCACTGCTTGCCATGATATTTCAAGGAATATGTGAGCCATTGGGGATTCCCAGGTGAGCATCAAGAGCAGGCAAAGGTTAAAAACCAACATCTCCAGGGAGATACCAAATAAAGCAGTTCTGTAGAGGAAGTGTCACTAGGGGAGGGTGTGAGTAGTATTCCAAGTGTCTAAAAGCTTTTCTGCCTAGAGCAAGGCAATAAATTGGTCTCCAGATCCAGGAGATCATATTGCCACAAAGAATTAAATTACACTTTTTTTTTTTTTTTTACTGAAAGTAAAATAAAAATCTAAATAGCTTGCCTAGGAGGGCATCCTTAAAAAGAAACTGGGCAGACTGTCAGCAGTGGTTATGGGGTAGCTGATCCTGCATGGAAATAGATCAGATACTTCTCCAGCGCCTTCCCAGAACAAAGTATAAAGGTGCCTTGCAGGGATTTGGGGATCTGGCTCATCCCCTCACCATGGTATATTAAGGAGTACGAAGCAGACTGCAGAGTCAGGGGTGTGAAACTGCTTCCCTGCACCCTGTGGATCTGTGAGCTCTAAACATTGCCTGCAGGAGCACAGGAGGTGCTTCTGGTGGAAGCTGGAGTGGTGGGGCAGGGAGGCCGTGGTTCCTTTGCCCTGCAGAGCTGGGGCTGGCACAGCCTTTGCCCCAGAGGAAGGGGAGGGGATGAGCACAGGCGTTAGTAGGGCAAGGGCTGTGTTGGCTCCTGACTCCAGCCAAGGCAAGGAGGAGGTTGCTGTGCCCTCTGCACTTTCAGCCAGGCCAGCAGGGCTGGAAAATGTCTCAGTGCCAAGAGAACAAACTTCCAAGCAGGCTGGTGCCCTTTGTCCCTCTGTCTCAAGGGCAGTGGCTGACCCCAGCACCAGCTGGAGGCAGCCCAGCACATTCATGTGCCTCTGCACCCAGCCAGCAAGGCAGGCACAGCCCCAGGCTGCGAGCAAACTCTGGGCTCTTTGGGAAGCAAAGGAGGATTTTCTTTCCATCTGTGGCTTTCCCATGTCCCAGAGAAGCCTCCCACCCCCATGCAGGAGTACTGCAGCCACAAACAGGGAGCCATGGAACTGTGCTGGGTGCTCACCTCCATGTGCTGAATGGGAATGCTGGGCAGCTGTGGGCATTGTGTGCCACATGCCAAGGGGCTCCCTGCCTCACCAGCTGATCCAGGACACACAGCAGCCCTGGACTGTTGCCTTGTCCTCTGGCGTTTGTCCTCTTTCCACCACACTGTCCTGGTCTCATCAGTGTGGCTCATCTGTAGTCAATAACCAAAACTTGGCATAGCCCCACACAGGTGGTGTTGTCTTCTTTTCAACCAGTACCACAAATGGATTTGTTAATGATGGTGTGAGTCCTGAGTGTGCCTCCTGTGCACTGAGGCCATGGAAGAGCAGCATTTTAGTGAGGGCACTGCTGGCTGGTCAAGGAGGGCAGTTGTTCCTCTACAAAGCATTTGTGAATCCACATGTGGGGAACCACGTCTTGCTTTGGTTCCACCATCACAGGAGACATCTTGGATAGTCTGTCAGAAGATCACTGAGAGGGTAGGGCATTCAGGGGCATGGAACACAGGCTGCACCAGCACCAAGTGGGGCACAAACTCTGCTCAGAGGTGCACAAAGCAAGAATAGGAGATGTCAAGTACAACGAAGAAAATTCCAGCTGGACATTAGGAAAAAATAGTTTAACCATTAGTATGGTTAGCACAGGATCTGGGCCCCAGAGAGAGGGGAATGCTCTCACTGGAAGTTTTTAAGACTGGATATGACCTAGAGCAACCAGATCTGGCTTTGAGGGTAGCCCTGCTTTGCGCAGGAATTGAATGAGGTGTTCTTCAGAGATCATTTCCAAACTGATCTTTTTCTCCATCTACCCCAAATGCCTAAAGCTTTCCTAATATAGTGTCTGCCCTGACCCTCAGCTAAAGCCTCCTCATCAAAAGTTTCATGAATCATCTTAGAAATTGCAGACCTGGCCAAACCAGATTGCTTCTAGCAGAATATGTCCCCCACATCTGCCTTCTCCTCCTTGTGCCCAGTGAGCTCTCCTGAGGAGAAGCCATGTTCCTGGTCTGTGTTAGGTTTCCCATAGCAGGGCTTACAGAAATACAGGAAGGTTGTAATCTCTTAGGAAACCCTGACTCTTCACCTTCTCCCTGTCTGCTCATGGATCTGTTGCTTTCGAGGTGCTGAGGTCCCAGGGCAGCTTCTTCTCATCTTCTGTGGAAGGAGTGGTGTTAAACCCTGGAACGTTTCAGACGTGCTGCGGCTTCTGGACTCTGCAGGGAAGGCGGCAAAGGGGATTTTCTGCCATCATCTGTTCCAAATTACGGTGGTTTCAGGGAGCTCCTTGGCCCGTTTCCACCACAATCCCTCAGCTCCCGAGCCCACGCAACTGGAGGTGGGGCCTCGTGGTGGTGGTAGTGGCCAGAGCACGGTGCATCACGCTCACAAGACCAGGGTGAAGGGACAGTGCAGACACCACTCTCTGCTCCTGCTCTGCTGGGGACAGGCTGGCTCTTGGTGAGTAGTCTGTGCCCACTGGGTGCTCCAGGACAGCTTCAGTGGGAGCAGGGAGTGAGAGCAGGGATCACCCATTCTCTCTAGATTTCTAGAATTTCATCTGCTGCTAAGAAAAAGAGGTCTGTGCTGGGGCTGGAGCTGTGTTTTCACCAGGATGAGTGTTGGCATTGTGAGCAGCAGATACGTGCAAGGGGGATGCTGACCTCAGCTGGACATCTCACCATATCCCTGCCCCCCACTCTTCTATCTGCTCCTGTCCTGCCTTCTTACCCCTTCTCAGCTGAGTCTATTCTCATGCACATCTGTTAGCATCCTGGTTGCTCTGAGTTTGCTTTGCCAGCATACTTTATCCTGCCTTTACCATAACTTCTCTAAACCAAATGCCTCTCAGCTAATTTTTTTGGATCTTTGGGTGTTAAGGGACACGAGCAGGGCAGGGCTGCATGGAGGCTTTGGTTTTACAGTTTAACTGGTAAAAAGTCAAGTGTTGGGCAATGCCACGTCCATTGCACCCACAGTAGGTGTGTGTCAGCCCAGCTGCTGTGCTTGGGAGTGCAGGATTGAGGGGGGAGCTCAAGCCCAGCCCTGCTTTCAGGCAGAGTCTGCGGTTCCCAACTTTGCTTTGCAGGTGGATGCCCCACAATGACTGTGAAGAAGACTCAGGCTCTTCAGGATGGAAGTGCCAAGGTGGGTAAAGGGAGAGAAAAAAGGGCAGAGATGTGCCAAGGGGGCCAGGTAGTGTGTATTGACAGTGCTGGATGAATACCAGCCACACCTCATGCTGTCTCACATGTCCCATTTTCTCTTTATATGGATCTTTACCTGCAGTAGTATGGAGTATCATCAAAGGGAAAGGACAAACCTTTTTGTTTGCTTGAAATTAACTACTTCAGATTCAAAAAAGTTAACCTTGAGCTGATACAAGCACTAGGTGATAACTGCCAACCATACCTGTCCTTCGTCTGTGCCCCATTTAGTCCCCAGACCTCCAGCACGGAGGTTTCCACAGGGTGGAAAGCCAGAGGGAGCATCTGAACAGTTGGGCTTGGGATACTGGAGGAGTGGAGACCGACCCCATCAGACACTGCCTGCAGTGTCCCTGCTCCCTCAGTGGCAGCAGCCAGCCTGCCTGCCCTTACTCAGCATACCTGGCAGACCCTCAGTGGGGCTGGAGAAACAGCCTCCTCCTCTCCCCATGCAAGCCAATCTCCTCTGGTCACCGCGACCCACCGAGAGCCAGCAGTGTGCAGGCAATGGGGCGCTCCCCAGGGAAGGGCTGCTGGCTCAGCCGTGTCCATCCACCCTGCAGGAGAACGTGCTGCAGAGGGTGCTGCAGCTGCCCGTGGTGAGCTCCACGTGCCAGACGCTGCAGCGCAAGTACAGCAGCACCAAGGAGTCGCACCCGCTGATGGCCTCGGTGTGCGAGGTGTACGAGCGCGGCGTGCAGGGCGCCGGCGCCCTGGCCATGTGGGGCATGGAGCCCGTGGTGCGCCGGCTGGAGCCGCAGTGTGAGTCCGTGTGCTGGGGGGGACGTGGCAGGGGGGCCCAGCAGAGCTTCCCCTGGTGGGGCAGCGCTGGCACAAGCACGTGCCTGGCACGGCCCAGGGGTTTTTCTTACCATGTTTTTGCCTGAGGCAGTCGCTGTGGCCAACAACCTGGCTTGCCGGGGTTTGGACCACCTAGAGGAGAAGATCCCTGCTCTCCAGTACCCTGTTGACAAGGTAAGTCACAGGCAGGACAATGTGGGACCCCCCAGCCCCTCTGAAAAGCCCACAGTA